GATAAAGGATGCCCTGATTCTATGCATCTTATTAAACCAGCTGCCGACCATATTGGCCGGATTAAAGATCTGTGGCAACACCCTCCCTATCCGTCCTTGACACTTGAAGCACAAAGCGGTGTCTTTGCGGAGCATGAAGAGCTCGGTGTGAGCCAAAAGCGTGTCACCGGTACCAAGACGCTCCCGGTTCATTGCCTACAATGTCATTTCCTAACAACCGGCATATGCAGCATGCACCTGTTCCGCTGTCACCGTATGAGACAAACAAATACAAGGCATACCTGTCCTGTCAGGTCCGGGGTTTTTCAAGATTCAGCCCAAATTGTGATCATGAAGATCGCAGGGAACTGGAAGACGGACGCTGCCACCGCCCCGGAGCTCCGTTCCTCTGCCGCGGGAGGAGTAGCCCTGCAGCCTGGGACAGCAGACAGCACGAGCCGGCAGGGATGCTCACGGTCGCGAGGGCTAGGAGGAGAGTAGAGGGGCGTTTTCATCGGGAACTCCTCACGTCGTGCGTGAAATGTGGACCTCTCCGCTAGTGACACGCAGCACCTCTTTAGCACTTGCTTTGCTGTTACCCGGGTCATTTTTTGCCGGCGCAGACCAAAGCAAAATCAGGGGTATTTAAAAAAAGAGATGCTCTAATCTAATGCACGTGCAATCGTGTAAACGAGTCTCAGCTGCAAGAGGAACATACACGCGTAATTAGGAATATTGTTATTTATTTAAGACACACTTTGAATAGATTAAATTCGTCTCTTGGATACGTTTTTTAAATTAGTGAGGACGAGGATTATTGATTGTCAAAATGTGTTCCTAATTGCATATTCATATTCAAGTAGTTTACCCCACCTCTTTAAAATGCAAAGGTGGGGACACCTGCTGAGCTGCTATGCTATTGGCAAAGTATATCACTGCAGCCTATGCCCGGCCCCGAGCCCCCTTTAAATGCCATTTATATGTATACCTGTCAGTCACTAAAAGTCCAAATGCAAAGTACATTTGTCCTTATTCATTTCAAATCAATTAACTTGGCTTTGCATAAAACTGATAGACAGTGTCATTGATTGGTGTTGACATGAGTTTGGATTGAAGCCCAAAGAGCAAGAAGATGTACAATTAAACTCTCGTCTTGCTTTGACATAATTGAAAGACTACATTATAGTGAGATCAGTTATTGTATTTAATGATACATGTCCACTCTCTGTTCCATTGTGCTAGACAAGAGCTCATTAGTCAACATAACAACCTTTAATTCATGATATGTTTAACATTAAGAAGTAGGTATATTTTAAGTAAAATGGTCATATACTGTAGGCCTACTCTTCCCTGCATAGCGAGAGGCGTGTTGAATGAATGAAGGCTAAGTGGGTGATGTATTGCAATGATGGTGACTCATAGGAACCTTCTGTGCCGAACGCCCTCTTTGGCTTTCATGCACAAGTGTTCAGTTCAAATGCAAATATGCATACAGGAAATCAATTCCCGTCATGCTTCAGTGGTTCTCCTTCAGTTGCCTTTATGCGGAAATGAGCAGCGAAAATACTTTTTTGCCATATGGGAACAATTTTTGGAGCGTAAACTATTGCTATACAGTATGTCTTTATCCCTCTAATGGCTGAGGTTGAATACTGAATATATGACCAGACACTCTTATTTAAGTCACTAAGAACATTAATATTACATACACTTGCAAACATAAGAAGTCAGTCACTCCAATGGTCGTGAGGAGATTTCTCCACATGGTGGCAGTAATAAACCATCATCACAACAACCATGAGGTTGTATTCACTGCCTGCACATGCTACACCCTAAAATCAAGTTTACAGTCAGCATCTAATTTGTTTCGCACTTATACTTTAACTAGGTAATTACACATATCTGCTTGCAGTTTCATCGCATTTACATTACCTGACTTGCACACATGGTTGCTCTAAGCTATTTTCTACATGCATTACACTTTTGCCGTTATTACTGATGCATACTGAGACTGAGCAGTGCCATACATCTTTGTAATGCCTAACGAAGAACCTTATGTTATTTACGCTGTCATTTCCTTGAGGCAGCAAAAATATTTCTCAGAATAGTTGACGTGTGAGTCATAAGTCATCACTTTTAAACATCATTTATATGTTTTGCTTTTTTAAAGGGCAATCGAGACCGGTTCTTAAGATGCCACAAGGCATTTTCTTTTATTTACTGTTGTAGCTTAGTACCACTAAATGTTCCTTTCAAGAAAATTGGAAAAGGCATCCAAGTAATAGAGACATCTCAGTTGTCAAATATTATTCTTAAATTCAGTGGAATATTTTATCATTACCTTAATGTAAATATATAAGCTTAAAAGGGTATAGTTTTTTCAACCTGACCTTTCTGGATTTCATATCAGATGATTTGAATGAACATTATTGAGCTTGGTTCACTACTCTCCAATGCACTTTGCTTTCAACGTGAAGTATAAGAACCTCTAAATAAGAAGGTTTAAAATGTGCATGGTGGGGAAAACAAGTTGTTTCTGTCACCTCCTTGTTTATGAGAACTCATTGCACATTGAGTCACTCCACTGTTGTTCAGCCCTTTGACTCATTTATCAGCACTTTGGCAGCCTGTAAAGCAGAACAAATAAACCCAAGACAGAAAGCCTCAACCACACAGATTTCTGTTTGATTGACAGGACACTCTGAGAACCCTACAGAATTTTTACCTGACCAAAAACAAATGCGACTGTTGCTGATAAAGTCGGAGCCAAAGGCCATCATGATCAGGTGAAGATATAGTTGACAACTGATGGCAAAGACAAGCACATTTTTCTGAGAGGTGATTTCTTTACTGATAGTGAGAAAAAATGTGTGGGTGGTATGAGTGTAGTCAGATGTCTAGTCAGTGAGAATGCCATATTGATGTTTACCTTACACATACATAAAGAAAACTTGCACTTTACACACAGTTTCTTCTGGTCATGAGTAGGCTGAGTAAGGCTGTATATTATGCGAGGCCACGGTATGTTCTCATTTCCAGACCACCAACCTGCTAATGTCTGCACTTTTAAATCACATATTGTGCGCTCTCCGAATATCACCATAAATCGAACGTAATGGATTAAAAATAAGTAGTTTAATTAATGAATATGATAAAATGAAACTAAACTACAATCTACCTATTCTTTGAATGTTAAGGATCAATGAGTTCTGCTTACGTTTAAGATGAACAACTGTGTCCTATAATGTTGCCTTCAGGTTACATATATACATTTCTCTTATTTAATTGAAATGTATTGCAACACTTAAAAGAGGAAGGACCATAAGGAAATCTATAGCAGTGTTTTTATTTTTCACACCAATTGGAGACATTATTGTGGCATTCCCCACATTGTTGAGCTTCATCGTCTCTGTCCGCAAAAATGCTCTGTGTATTTAGTTTATATGCTGTTTAAAAGGGTGGCAGTTATTATAATTCGCTCTTACCTCTACTGAAGAATCCAGATACATTTTATAGTGTTGGCTGTTATAAAGTTCAGGCTATTACAACGTGTACTTGACTTTAAGAATGCACTTTTGAGTCTTCTCTGACAAGCACATTTAACATAGTTTTCTTCCATTTAAGCCCCTGTCACACTGTCCCGAAATTGACACCCGATGGACACACGAATATGGAATTGTGAATTTCGCACGAAGATGGCCCCGAACCACACACAAAGGCAACATTTACATTACATTTAAGACATACAACTGCAACGAAAGTAACACAAACAATTATGTTAAAGTATTATGATACTGTACTGATATTTTCCGACTTTGTTCTTTACTTTCTCCTTCTATATATGTAGAAGATATTAAGTTTTCTTCGTCATGTTGTTTCCATAGCAACAACAACTTTCTCGCCTTCAAAATAATATATTATATCCTTTTTAGTTTCACAGAACACAAATTGGGTTATTTACATAATATGTTTACATGATTTTGTTGTGCAATAAAACAACCAGATGGACACACGATAAAGGAAATGTTAAAATTCGGCTCTGATC